AAAAAAAACGTAAAGAAGAAGTTCAACCCATAATGCCTAATATGGTCAAACGTGAAGAAGAAATTCTTATGTCATTATCAATGGATCAAAATCAACAACGATTATTTGAATATACGTCACCTACTTATGAGCATCAAGGACCTCCAGTACCTGATAGAGCTGATCTTGAACAACTTGGGTATATATATATAATTCATTATTATTATTTAAAAAGAAATTATTCCGATTTATAGATACTTAGATCATGTTCGACAAGAAAAAGCAGTTGAACGTGCTGGTGGTTATACAAGAGAATATCCATGTTTACGTGCAGTTCAAGAAGCATTTGATATGTTATTATTTGTAAAAGAAAATCCTATAAATACTGTAAAAAAAGAATCCAAAGATGAAAACGAACCTATGGAAACTTAGTAAATAAATTAATATCTTTCTTTCTTATGTTCTAGATAAATTTCTATCGACAATATGCAATTACCATTACCTTTATCTATAAAAGGTATGACTGAACTTGATCGTGATCAATTTACACAAACTATCAATGTACCTTATGTTAACATTCCCGGTGAATGTATTCATTCATCTAAATGGAAAGATATTTTACTTATTTTACATGCATTGAAAAATGTTCGAGAATTAGACGGAAAATTAAAACAAGTTCTGTTCGATCCGGATATAATTAAAACGAAAGAAGATATTATTAAACATATACCATCAATAAAAGACTATGCTGAACAATCATTTGATTTTTTACAAATCACAATTACATATGCTAATTATACAATTGAACAAGTTATTAAAGCAATTATACCTGATGATCTAATAACCGATAAACGTGTTAATACTGGTTCGGGTTATAGTATTATTGGCCATATTGCACATTTTAATTTAAGAGATGAAGTTCTAGCATATAAATATATTATTGGTAAATAGAATATATATTATTTATTAAATAAATTCATTTTTTCTTTTGCTAAGGGGATTGTAGCTCAAGTTATACTTGATAAATTATCAAATGTTAAAACTGTGGTGAATAAATTACATGAAATTGATACTGTTTATCGTAATTTTGAATTAGAAATAATTGCTGGTGACTTAAATACAATTGTAACATGTCGAGAAAGTAAAGCACTATTTCAATT